CCCAAGTGGCGCCCATGTAGATAACATGGACTTGAAGAATTCGAGGGGAGGCCCCCACTTTGGTCGAACAAGAGTCAGGACCCTCATCGGCCATAAGAAGGGAAACAACTACATAGTTTCAGCTAACACTTAGAAATATTTCTAAAGCATGAAATAACAAAAGCAGTACAAGGACGTAGTAGACACTAAAGCCGAAAGAGCCAACCACATATTTCCATTCAAATATTCAAAGTATAAAAGGGGGGCATTACGGCCATGACACATAGACTAGGCAAGTAACAAAAAACAAAGAGGAGGGGGGTCAGGCTTCTCCCTCGCCGACATCTTGAACGGGCGTACCTACGGCATCATCGGCCTGGGAAGAAGCAGAGTCCAGGAACACGTCATCATCATCCCAATCATCCTCGCCGACACTGGAGATGAGAATGGGGGCTTGCCTCTCCTCCGCCGAAAGCTTGACCTCGTCCTCCGGGCCCCTCATCTTCTGAGGCAACTTCAGCTTATGAGCAAACTTCTTGCTCAGCTTCAACTCCTGGCATCTACGACGAAGCCTCCGGTAGATAAGCCGCTGCATCCGCTGTTGGCCCATGTCGTAGTATACCTTCATCTCCCTTTCGGAGTACTCCTGGCCGGAAGGACACTTCTGGCCCCAATCTTCAAGCCTGGCCGCCACAAGCTCAAAGCACCAAGGCCAAAAACTTCTCATGGCAGCATCGACGGCTTTCTGTGCAGCAGCCTCAGCGGCCTTCTCGGCCTCAACTCTGGCCTTCTAAGCCTCATCAGCAAGACGGCGGTCAGCCTCACGCGCCTCATTCTCCTCGGCAAGCTTTGACAGGGCATCGTCCCTATCGGCAGCCACTTGACGATAGGCCTCATCGGCCTCATCAGCTTTCTTCTTCAGGGCCTCCACATCGCCCCGTAGCCGATCCAGGCAAGTCAGGGCCTCATCGGCGGAGGCAGTCCTCTGTTCAACTTCCTTCAGCCGAGCTATCCCCCATTGCTGCCTTTTGTTGCTCTCCATTAGCATGAAGGTAGCCTCCAGATAACAAAAAGGTTAGGATGGCGGTGACACCTGCAAGCATATAAATTAAGGAAAATAACAAAGTATGAAAGGACTACTTACTTGGACGAGGTGGTCCATTCCACCGTCGTAGATCTTGACATTACCGAACCCATTGAGATAAGCCCGGTCCTCATCGGGGACAGCCTGGGAGATCACTTCGTGGCCGTCGATGATCTCGTTGAACACACCGCCCCTAACGGGGTATTCAACCTCCAGCTTATAGGTCCCCCTGACCAACTCCTTGCCGGATCTCTTCTTCCGGGAGTCTTGAATGATAGGGGAGGCTGAGAGACAGTGGTGGACGAAGGAGCAGATGTCAGGTCCACCATGGCGGCAGCACTGAAGCCTCCAATGTCTTCGGCCGGAACGGTCATGGATCCGGCGTCAGCATCGGCCAAGGGAGAGGTATTCTTCGACTTCTTGGAGGACTGCAAGCCAGCCTCCGTAAGCTTCTTATGACTGTCATCCACCGACCGCTTCTTCTTCGGCTGGGTGGGCGGTTTCTTCGGCTTCTTGGAGCTCAGTTGTGCTCCACTCGCTTCGGCCAGCTTTGCAGCTTCCTTGGCGGCTTGTTCCGCAGCCACTTTCGCCGTGGCCCTATTCATGACGAATCTGCGATCCATAACAATGTCTGCATAACAAAGGAAACAAACAACGTTAGCAAAGCAAGGCAACAAAACGAGAACAAGGATGCTAAGGAAAGCATTACCATCGGCTTCGGTGGGCCGCCCAAATCCGGGCCATCGGCCTCCTCGAACGTCATCGTCATTCTCGGCCAAATGTTTTCATCGTCCTCTGCATCCCCATACACGAAGTACCTCACGAAGCCAGTGACGCCATCTTGTACTCCGTAATGTAATCCTTCACGCTCCTCAACGCACCTTTAAAAAACTCCTCCAGTTGACAATCAATGAACGCACTCTTCGGTGCCTCGTGGAGGTTGAACTTTCCTAAGTGGCCGACAGAGGGGAACTTAACTCCCCTTCGCCTAACGACACGAAGACGAATTTGTTCTTCCATCCATGAAGATTGGCATAGCCGGCACAATTCTGATGACTGCCTCGGCCGATTTGGTACAAGTTCATGAACAAAGCCGTCGTCGGCTTGATGGACAACTCGGAGCAACAGAGCAGGAAGCCGACGATCAATGAGTAGCTATTTGGGGTCAACAAGGTCGAGGGAAGGCCCACCATATCCAGATACTCTGTGATGAAGGGGTGGAGAGGGAACCTAAGTCCCTTCGCAAAGCTCATGGGGTACATCCCAAATACCCCAACGGAGGATTGAGTACGTGGTCCATCGACTTGGGCACCCTAACCCTACCGTAAGGCCCCACGTACATCTGCGCGACATGGTACTCAGCCGCATTACTCTGCGGCTTGATGAGGTAAAGATCGGAGAGATCCAAGTAAGACACACCTGGACCCTTCTTTGGCCGACGCCTCCTCTTCGTCTAGGCAGCCGCCACGAAAGCCGCCCCCTTGACGATAGAGACTAGTTTAGGGCACAGGATGACGGCCGACGTGGAAGCACCATCCATGGCACGGGATATCCCGACGTCTTCACCCTCTGACGACGAAGCAGTATCCTCGTCCACTTCCTCCTCGCATACCAGCTCCCCCAGCTTCAAGGAGCTCAAATCTTCTATCTCCTCGAAACATTCATTCATGATCACTACCCGGTAATCAAGGGACCTAGCGGAGGCTTCGTCGTCATACAGGTAGTACTCGTCGTCCAGTGGTTTCACCATAACAGCTAACTAAGGCCTAAGGGGGGTTATATGGGATCTAAGTGTGGCTCGCTGACTAACATTAGATCAAAGCCTAAGGAAGCAAAGTGTACAAGAAAACGGAGAAGGGTTGATGAACTGACCTTTGAAGTTTTGAAGAAACGGAAGAACACTCGAGCAAACCTTTCTCTCTCTAGAAATTTGGGCAGCACTTCGTTAGCTCAGGATGCAAATGGGGACTTCCCTCAGAAGGGGCGAGGGGGGGGGGGGGTATTTATAGACCTCCTCCCGATGGTCACTACACGTGGCACCCTCCTAGTGGCCACACCAACGGTCACCACCACAAGGGCCAATGAGGCGCCATTGTTTCAAAGATGGGCCATGCCCACTCCACTATCGATGAAAGCCCTACGGTTCAATAGTCAAATGGGTTGCACCCGCAATGACCAGGACATTCAACGGCCACGCTAAGGAGAGATAACCGCCCTCGTTCACAAGTTACACCTATATCGGCCTCAACATCCAACACCACTTCGACGACTTACCTAAGATCAGAACGCCACCTTGGCATCAAATACCCCAAGGTGCGCCCATATCGGCAAGATATAACCCTAACAACATGGCCCTTTCAATGGCCACAAAAGAAGTTGAGAAGAACCTAACAGCCATCGCCTCTCGTATAAAACCCTACTGATGATGATAACTTCTTGAAAGCGACCTGAGTCCAAGGGTTCTCCCACAGGGTTACCTTGGTCAGGAATCGCCAAGGGGTTGGATTCAGGGGAATACGAGGATCCCGCTTCGGCCTGGGGTTGTACCTTACTCCTTCACCCCTCGCTACTCTTCGGTCTGAAGCAGTGGGGGACTGGGGGACTACACCAGCCTCTAAACGCACACAAGGACAAAATTAAAAATCAAAAAACGCACAAGTCCACAACTACAACAACACTGTATCATCCATGCATCATAACGTCCAGGACCTGGTGGTGCACCCTCGGCCGCAACAAAGTAAGCAAACAAGGAAGCAAAGCTCACCTCCCAAAACGTGACGCGTGTCGTCTCTTGACGCGTACCACTCAACGGCCTTGAGATCATGTACTCCACTCTTAGCCAAGATAAGAAAACAAGGACACAACGTCCTCTGGTCCAATGCCATCATCGTCCACGAAACCAAAAAACACACAACGTCCTCTGGGCCAGTGCCGTTATCGTCCTCAAAGCCATGGACGCCAAACTATGAATATCATCGCTTCGCCCTGGAGCACAAAAGGCAACCACCAACGGCAAAAAAGAAGAAACATCACCCTCATCGGCTACTCAAATCAAGGACACATATCGGCCACTAAGCAGGACACTCATCGTCCTCAAATAAACAAACGTACACCATCAGAGGAACATTAGCCTCATTTGTCCACAACGAAGGGCATACAACGGCTAGACACAAAGAACAACCAAAACAGAAAATGGCCACAATGGCCAGATCAGAAAGCAGAATCTACTCTCCCTCACTTCGTCAGCATCTCAGCTCAGAGAGTGGGGGGATCCTGATGGAGTATATGAGTCTAGACCCTAGGACCCACATACTCAGAAGAATGAGAGGCACAACTGTCACTCAGTGGAGCCTCCGTCGGCCAGAAAGATATCAACTCAGAACATGATCCAGAAGTCAGGAGAACCAGGTGTCTCCGTCGGCCAGACCCTCGTCAGCCACAGAGAGCTCACATAACCGGATTTCATACTTAGTCATTGCTACATACTTTGTACTCGGCCCAGTAGTGGCCCAATTGTAAATGAGCCTCCCAAATCCAAGACTTGGGAGCCCAGCCCGCATTTTCTCTATAAATACTCCCCTTGGGAGTAGTTTTAGGGGTTGAGAAATCATTTATTATAGAACTTATTGCACTTCTCTCTCTAGCTCTCAATTCTCTCTAGAATATATACTCTATCAAGAATATTGAAGCTTCTCATAATTTCGGGGGAGCAATTTACCTCAAATAGTTTTGGCTTTCTATTAGTTTTTTGTGTTGGTGAGATTGCAATGTTGGTCAGACTCTGAAGTTTGGGTCGGATGATGAAAAGTCTATTTGGACCGTCTTTGACTCAATTATGTTCATTATAGATCAACAAGTCATATTTCTTTTTGTAAGATGATTGTCTGTGAATTTGGTACAAACCAGCTTCTTTATGATAAAAAATATAAAATTTTCTGGCCCAACAGCCCAAAGGCCTGAAATAAACAAAAGGCATGAAGGCGTAGTAATTCAACGAAGGTAGCGGACAACCCCACCAACCGTCGAAGTGTCGAACGCCCCGCCAAGTCGCCGACTCCCTCTGATCTTCGCCGTCAGGCAGGCGCCAGCAAGCAGCACGGCAGCACCGCCACTCCGACTGGCTCCAGAACCGCAGAAAGCATCGTCTGTCGTCGCTCACTCGCCTCACGCCCGTCGCTCGGTGGCTTTCACTCCGCCACTCACCCTTCGGTGGTTCGGCTAATCGGGCCTTTTCAATTTTCACCTTCCAAATTATCTTTCGCCTCCTCACATTATCTTTCCTTCCAAATTCTTTGGTTTCCCCTCCTATTTTATTTCCCTTGCATGTTTTGCGATCCAAACAAACCCTAAAAGTTTCTGAAACTCGGAAACAACTCGGAGTTTACGCGCATCACAGGTACAAAATTATTTATTTCATTTGTCTAGTTCTGTTGCATATAGAAATATGCTCATATGCTGATATTATTCCCATGACCCCATTTGACTCATTTTTTGGTTCCATTTTTCCTTTTGCAGATGGCTAGATGGGATGAGATTCTGTCCCTCCCTGTACAGAACCCTCCAACACTAGAGTTCTCTTCGTCTAACCTTATATGGTCTAAGGTTGAAGGTTGGCGTGATAACATAGATAGAATTGCTCTGATCCCATATGCCAGAGTAGATGACTTTGTACGCGGAGAATCTGCTGATAAAGAATGTCCAACAAAATTCCATGTTGAAGCCAGAAGGAGGAGGACCTCAAAAACAACTTACAAGCCTAAAGTTGATGGCATCCTTGAGTATATACTGTAAGATACCATTTTTGTATTTGCTTATTCATTAGGATCTTCTATTTGGTCTACTCAAGCCATTTTTGTATACTTATGTAGATGGAGTATTGATGTGTATTACTACCTCTGTTCCCCTAACGTTGCTATAAGAGGAGGTGGTGCACTTACCAAGAAAAGTTAGTTTTTTATGGTTGATATTGAAAATTGTTTTCACTTTATTCTCACTTTATCAATTCAATATCAACCATAGTGAAAACAATTTTCAATATCAACCATAAAAACTCACTTTTCTTGGTAAGCCCACCACCTCCTCTTATAGCAACGTTAGGGGAACAGAGGTAGTATTACACATCAATACTCCATGTAAATAAGTATAAAGAGGTATGTGACAATCTTAGCAGGACGGAGGGAGTATACTATATTATTGTATACTTTCTATAAAATTTATATTCTACCGGCCGTCCCAAATTGTTTTGCAAAGTCAACATTTTTGGTCAACCAATGTTACAGTTAAATCCTCCTCATTGATAATTAATTCAATTTTGATAATTAAAATTTACATATTCAGAAACTATATTGAAATCTCTATAGAATTGGAAAATCCAAATTAAAATCTAATTAAGAATTGATATCCTAATTAAATGAATAAAATGAATCTGTTTGACCCAAAAAAGTCAAATTTGCAACTTAATTTGGGACATAGGGAGTATTGAATATATTTACATCTATATACTTAATACTTCCTCCTTTTTATTGATGCTTTATGATATACAACTAGAACTAAGGAGTTCAATTATATTAGTTTATCATTCCAATCTCTTTATTGTTTACTTTGGATGATAAAAAAGTTATTACTTCGTATTTGATTAGTGTATCTATTAGAAGTGTCAATTAATTATTGCCAACAAGTGTTGGAGACCTGAGACTTTAAAATAATTAAAGTGAAAACTTCTCTTTCTCTTGAATACTTGTAAGACATCTGAAAATCAAGTGCAGAAGGCCAAAAATCAAATGATAAAAAGTTTAAAAACGAACAGCGGGAATATTTGTTATTGTGTATTGTTTAATTTATCACTTAATTTTTACTACTTAGTCATTTTTCTGAATTCCACTTTATTTTTTGACCCATGTAATTTTAGGTACTGGTGTTCATTTGGACCAGATGACCATAGAAAAGGAGGTGTTGTGCGACCTAGCAGAAGCACATATGTCCCTAAGAAAAAATCTGCCGGTAGGCCAAATACAAAGAGAGGTTGCACATGCCACTTTATTGTCAAACGTCTGATTGCCGAGCCATCCGTGGCACTTATCATATACAATCAAGATAAACACGTGGACAAGAAAGGTTTGCTGTGCCATGGCCCACAGGATGAGCAATCTGCTGGGACCCGTGCTATGTATGCTCCGTATATCTCAGAGGATCTCCGTCTCCGTGTGTTATCTCTACTTCACGTTGGAGTGTCTGTGGAAACCATAATGCAGAGGCATAATGAATCAGTGGAGAAACAGGGGGGGCCGTGCAACCGAGATGACCTTCTAACCCACAGGTATGTTAGAAGGCAAGAGAGGGGCATAAGGCGGTCTACGTATGAACTGGATGAAGATGATGCAATAAGCATTGGCCTGTGGGTTGAAAGCCACCAGAATCAAATCTTCTTTTACAAGGATTTCTCGGATTCTGATCCTTTTGTCCTTGGCATTCAAACTGAGTGGCAGTTGCAACAAATGATTCGGTTTGGGAACCGTGGACTTCTTGTATCTGACTCAAATTTCGGAACGAATAAACTGAAGGTCTTATCTCAGAAAAATCTAAAGAGCCCATGTGGGTGCACATAGGGCTTGTTTGATTGCATTAATAATCTTTTCTCAGCAGAATAAGTACCCATTACTTATTTGGGTGATATCTTGTTTTCCAAATGCTTATCATCTCATAAAATTCAGCACTTTCTGCCATTTCTTCTCAGTACCCTTACCAAACATTCTCTTAAAATGCCCACATGATCAAGTGTGGTGATTAACTCATATTGGCTTGTGTAGGTCACATGGAGTTTAGTGGACCCATGTGTGTTGACTTCTAAATTTGATAACATGGGCACATTAAAGCTCCTGCCCACATGGATTCCTTTGAAAAAATCTGATTTCTATCTATGTGTTTGTGGTTTTCCAACCCTGGGAGAAATTTGTAATCTTTGATGGCTTACTCTGCCCTTTCTCTATGCAATTTTTTTCAGTATCCAATTCACAGTCTTGTTGTGTTCAATTCAGACAACAAGGCTATACCAGTGGCATGGATAATAGCACCAAGATGTGCAAGTAGAGACACTGCCAGATGGATGAGGGCTCTTTATAATAGAGTTTGCACCAAAGATCCTACATGGAAGTTGGCTGGGTTCATTGTGGATGATCCTTTGACTGACATCGTGGCTATAAGGTTGCCTTCATAAACCTTCTATGTTATTAATTTTAAACACAGATGAGTACAAAATTTGTACATTCTCTTGATGGACCTTCATAGTTAATTCATATATGTGATTCACATCATTCACTGATTTTGCAATAGATATATGAGTACCTTTAAATGAATTAGTGAATATTTACTTTATATTTTAAATGAAACAATCTTTGTTAGTTAAGTATAATAATTAAGAAAAACACAATAGTCAAATGCAACACTTTTTTCCGTAGGTTTCCATCTTAAGTTATAAATTTATAACTAGTTACATAAAATCACAATATGAAACTCAGAGTAATTCAATTTGACTAGACTACTAGAGTATGATGTGTTTAATAGTTAAGTACTTTTTTTAACATAACTCTGGAAACAGTCAGAGTATATATTAACGTGTCAGTTGAGTAGAAGTAGCTTTGTTTTTCAATAATATAGTGCTGTTATTCATTTGTGTACTTTAAATCCATCTCGGAGGGATACCAAACTGTGCAAAATTAGAGATGGTAATTCCGCTGAGCAAGATTGATTTTTCAGAAGAGTAGGTGAAGAGAAGGGGCATGAAGCTTAAATATTTCTTTCCGCTTTATCTTTCATTTTTTCCCTGGAAGAGTAGGGCTCATTTTTACCATCAGGAATTTTGATGCCTGGCATTAACAAAGTTATATGGAATTAACTCCAAAACTATTGATATTATAAATAGAACGAAACCCTTTTATTTATGATACTCCCTAGTCCCTAGGGTCTTGGTGAACAAGCAATAGATTTCCAACTATTAAGAATTACTCATAATGTATTTTACCCATGTTGTATTTATTGGGCTCTTATGAGTAGGAGCCAGGAGGCCCTCCAAAAATGGGTCTGCCACTTTATGTGACAGACACTCTTTAGTAAAAGTTCAAGGTAGTCAAGTCGTGAGCTGCACTCAAGGTGATGGGGTATTGCCAGCGCCTGAGGCACAAGGCGCAAAAAGGTGCTCGCCTGACTATAGTCAGGCGCATTGCTTAGATAATATCACACATACTATTCTTCAATAATCAAACATGATGTATATAGTCATGATTAACCAAAATAAATTCATGATTCACAAAAGAAAAACAACCATATTCAGAATTCATAACTTAATATCTTAAACATTAAAACTGAAAATATTAAATAATTAGAAGAAACAAACTTATACATGATAGAGTGATAGTATACATATGTATGTCTGAGTTCTATAGAGTATATAACAAGAAATACATGCTGAAAAAAATAAAGAAAATGAATTGCTAGTATGCATATAAATGCTTGAGTTGTATAGAGTAATAGAATGTAGAGCCTATAGACTATATAAGAAGGATGCTGAAACAAATAAAGAAGAAAGAAGATGGCACAATGAAGAGTGTTGCACATGATAGACCATTATAATACTCCCTCCGTCCCCTTATTATTGTCCCATTTCCTATTCACTCGGTCAACACAAATAACTCTTAATCTCTTACTTTATTTATCAATTTTTTATCAAATTTGATTCTGGTTTTTGCGACTTTGTAAACCTTTTAATGTAGTTTCTGAATATGCAATTTTTTTCCTAAAAATAATTCTAGTGCGGACAGGGATCTGTTTGCTTTATCGTCAATCAAGCATCGTAAACCGCAATGGGACAATAACAGGGGGACGGAGGTAGTAGTAGTTTACATATACTCCCTCCATCCCATAAAATTCTTCCCGGTTTGACTTGGATCAGAGTTTAAGGAAGTGCGAATAAAGTGGAAATGTATGGTTGTGGTTGATTAAGAAAAAGGTAAATGCAAGTTAGCCAGACAAAACTATCCAAAAAGTGAAATGAGAAGAATTTTTTTGGACATTCCAAAATGGTAAGTGGGAAGAATTTTATGGGACGGAGGGAGTATATGTTTAAGTTGTATAGAGTGTATGAGAAGTAGATGCTGAAAAAAAGGAATGATGAAGGTTTACGTTGAGCCGAGCAGAACAGGACTACGTTGTGTTGTTTAGCGTAGGTTTATGGTGTTTTGACCTTATCTAGATGGGCTTTATTAAAAAATTGATCTTCTGATTTGGCCACACGCCTGAACTGTATCATTAAACTTAAAATAATCGTCTTCTCCTGTCAGGTGCGAAGAGTGAGCGCTTTATCGCTGCAGCGCTTTTGTGCCTAAGCTGCGCCTTGTACAGGGGGGTGCACCTGATCGTTCTTCAAGCGCTAGGGCTAGTGCGCGCTGCGCCTGGTGCGCTTAAGCACCCAGGCGGCCAGGCGCTTGACTTTGACTACACTGATTAAAACGTGAAAGAATAGTTCGCTATTTGTTCATTGCGTGGCTGCATAGCTGATACACACACATTGCACCACGTTTTTACCCAATGTGATGCATTTTTGACACTGTTGGAGCCGTTAGATGTCACATCCAATGCATTAAACAATTCTCATTTCTTACATTAACACCTAATTTTATTTGATCCGAAATCTATATATTTATGTATCTATGTTAGATGCAAATTTTAATGTTTCTATCTCCATTTACTAGCATGTCTTTCTTTGCATTAAAAGAAACAATCTTATATATGTGAGACAGAGCAACAATATTGATATTACAAATATTAACCAAATAGAGTATAACTATTGTAAATTCTATTATTACTCCTCTATCCCAAAACTTTCCTCCAACTTTTTCTTTTTGGATATCCTAAAACTCCTCTGATTTTCTTTTTGAGGAAGGAGTTTGTGGTATGTAATTTTTATATTGGTTCATCCTTTCCAAATGAATCTTAACCACTTAAATATTACCACTTAAAAAGTGGTTCAAAAAACAAATTGGAAGAACATGTTGGAAAAAGAGAGTGCTAATGAGTAATAGGAAATTAATAATAATAATGAATGATATCCCTAGCTTTAGTATGTATTGCTCAGTGACGCCCATATCATCTATATTTAATTATTCAATCTAATTTGGTGATGAATGTGATGCATATTTGTCTGTTATTTTTCTCAGGGGCGTGTTTCAGTGCGCTGTGCTAATATGCTTTTGGCGTGTACGTCATGCATGGCATAAACATTTAATGAAGAAGTGTTCAGAAATAGGATTGCGCACTGAAATAGCAAAAAGGCTGGGTGAGATGATACATTGCATTTGCAAAGGGTTACAAACTGGAAATATGTTTGAAGATTTTATGCAAAGTTTTGCATGTGCTGCAGAGTTTGTGGACTACTTCAAGGCAACTTGGTATCCAAGATTAGGTAACATATTACTTTAGATAGCACTTCCAATACATGTCATTTATCACATATTCACATCTATATGTATTAGCGTCCTTTATTCTCATATACTGGTATTTTAGTAAGTGGGGTTTAATGGGCTTTTTTATGAAAGAATCAAAAGTTTGGACTGACTCCCCCAAAAGTTCCACTCTTTGCCCCATGCATATTAGTTCATTCTCATTTTTACTTCAAAATGTTCAATATTTCCACTATTACTCTATCAGTGCTCAGTTGTGGATTTCCTGTCACTTTTATGGTAGAAGCCCAGATTCTGTGGAAATATGCCATATATTTGCTCGGAAAGACCAAAAGTGAAAAGGGATTCAAATGAGTTCCCAGTTTCTCTCCATTAAATGAAGCTGAGTATCAGGTGAGCTCTCTATCAGTGGATCATAGACCACGCTCGTTTGGTTGCTAAGGATTTGTTCACCTCAGCTAAGGCAGACGGAAAAACTGCAAGTGTAACACCCATCCCACCCAACAGGACGATTTGTTTTGCTCGATCCAACCCAAACGAGTTGAATTGGAAGAATGCAAACAGAACGACTCTGATTTTAATATCTAGTTGACTTAGACTTTTTAAATAAAGGATAAATATTCAATGTGACAAAAGTTTGGTTCCAGAAATAGATACGTTTAAAAATATTCATGGGCCACAGCTAGCCCAAACAAACTATATTTATTTTTAAAATATACTCCCTCCATTCTTTTTTAACTGTCAAATATTCTTTTTTTGGGAAGTTTTGTTATTTATAAAATTTAATAAAACTTGTTTTCTGCCAAAATAAACCTTCACTTTTATTATCCTTGCCTTTTTTTGACTTTTTTACAAGCTACTTTCTCTTTTCTATATTTTCATTACTTTAGCCTGCTGTGCTCGGTTTTCTCTTCAGCCACTATGCTTGGGGAACTGGCCTACTCTTCGTATAGGTATTTCTTTGAACAACCTTTGTCCAAGCCAGGGACACGTCCTTGACACTTTGGTATGTATGGCCTAAGAAGGCATCCATAAGGGCCATAACATAACCTGTACTCTGAATTTGCCTGATAAGATAAAAGTATAAAACCCACAAATGACAATTGGACATTGTTGTAGTAATCACTGCCTAAGGTGCTAGGCTGACCTTGAGTACCTAGATGTTTAATTGGATGGAGGGAGTGGGTTTAGATGGGGATGTCTTGGAGCAGTTGGAGGAGTAATATGTATGAAGTTTATTATTTTATAAAAATTAAAACATTAATGCAATGTGTGTTCGTATAATATTTCAATCATCTGTTTATTTGGTTTAAGATAGAACCATTCCAATCCATTTTATTCCAATCTGCAGCATAGTGCTCAACATTTGCACCTCATACTCATTTAAATTGATCTACACTTTCATCAACTCCTGACAAATCGTTGTTTGACAAAGGGCTATGGACTAGTGCACTTAGAGCACTTCCTCTCGCCGGACTGGAAACTTGCGCAGCACTGGAGTTTTACCACAACCAAATGAAGCTCCGGGTGTTGAACGAGAGGGCCTCAAGCGTGTATAAACGTGCAGATTGGCTTGCAGATAAGCTGGGTACCAAAGTGCATTCTTATTTCTGGCTGGATGAGTACTCTTGCAAGGATGACTTCTCACGCTATTGGAAGGATGAATGGACGACTGGATTGACAGCCTGGCAAAAATCTTTGCTAATCCCTGACAGTAATGTGGCAATTGAGGGAGGCGATGTGAAAATCGGTGACCAGGGAGATCAGACCACTTTCTGTGTCGTAAGAAACCCATCTTCCTTGGAGTATGCACTCTGTGATTGCGAATCTTCAAAAGCCGGTAACTTGTGTGAGCATGTTTTCAAAAGCATTAGATATCTTCGTGGTGGTGGACCCGTTGCATCATCATCTGTCAGTATGTTTCAGTACAAGCAGGCATTGTTTAAAATGATGCACTGCCCACCTTATGATTCTCTGATTCGTGATCATGCACTGTCTCTAGCTGTATGGGTGAAGATGCAGTTGTCTTCACAAGTAGAGGAGCGAACCGTAGGACCCACTTCTGGTGACAATCATAACAGGGTTGAGTTGATCCCTTCTCTTGAACAAACCATGAGACCCACAACACAAGGTGATTTAGATTCCCAGGTTATTTCTGGTGATGAGACATCCATTAACCCTAAGACAGATGAAACGGGAAATCTGCTGTGCACAGATTTGCCATACTCCAAACTAACAGGGTTTGGTGGTTCTCTGCACAGAAACGGTTCTGGTATTGTTAAAGCCTCGGGTGGAGAGGGTGTAAGCAATGGGAACCAAGATTCAGTTGTTGAGAAGGAAAACAGATTATACTCAGGAAATGAGGGTATGGAGGGACTCCAAAATGGTATCAATAAGAATTCTTCTTTAGGGCATGCAAGTTGTAATGCTTCACGTAAACCGTCGAGGGAGATTGTGACCTACAAACGTAGGAAAGTGCTCTCCACACCTCCTTTAAAGTAAGTTCAGTATTCTCAAGTATTGGGGTCATAATTGCTGCTTTAGATAATAAAAAATTACATCTCATAATTGCTGCTTGTTCTGCATTTTTTAAAGGGGTCTGCAGGGGATTTCATAATTGCTGCTTATTTTGCAGACGGTGAGATATAAGATCGGCATTCACTATCATTGTATCTAACCCGTGGCGTTCCCCATTATTGAGATCTTCATGTAGTGTAGTTAGATGGATGGAATTGACATTCTTGTTCTTGAAAGATCGTGTGAACCTTTTATAATATATGGCTTTGTTGCAATCCCTTCTTATTCTAACGAATATGGTGTTTTCTTGGTTTTGAGATTGAGCATAGTTTTATTCAGAACACAAATGTATTTTGAACTAATCTTCAGTTTTGAGAGCCAACAGTCTTGATATGGTGGGTGTGAAATTTGTTTGATTTTTTTTTTGGAGCTCATTTATGTGGTGGTAATAAATTATTATTATGCTAATAATCCTCTGCTTATATATGCTACGATGAGGTCATGTGAAGAATAAAAAACATCACTCAAGGATTTTGGGCTGTCCAATGTTGTAGAATAATAGAGAGTGAAATGGCTCATTAACTTGTTATGTTCCTATATTATAAATCCATGTTAACAGATCCAGGTTTACGCATCTCTGGCTTTGAAATAAGAGTAAAATTGCCTTACTACTCTAAATTACGCGGGGTTGAAAATTTAGAAAGAGACAAATAATTTTAATTGCAATTATTATAAAGAAATTAATTCTTATTATTAAAAGACCAACAGGGGACGGATCCAAGATTTAAAATTTAGTGGGTGATTTTTTTCCACTAGTGTAGGCTTCTATATTTTCACAAAAAAAATTAATAAAAGGAAAAATATTTTTACATACATGACATTTAAATCTACTAGATTCTGTATTAACACAATGAGAAAAGAATTAAATTTTACAATGGAAGTGCTCTAGATAGTAGTATTGGTAAATTAAAGTCCAAAAAATGGAAAATTGAAGGAAATTTATTTCATACTCCGTAATAAAAAATGTTAAAATTAAAGTGCATGAGTCTTATCTAGGGATGGACCCGGGCCGGTCCGTTTCCGGGCCGGGCCCGGGCAATTTTTTTTTCCAGATTGTTGGGCCCGGAACCGGCCCGGGTTGATACCGGGTCCGGGCCTGAGTCTATGTAATTTTTTTTTCTTTCTAATTAACCCCCGACCCCCCTCACCGGTTCACCCTCACCCTTCAAACCTCCTCAAAACACCCAGCCCTACCCAAGGAAAAGGAAAAAAATTGAAAAAACCACAAAAAATGAACCGGGCCCGGCCCGAACTGCCTGAGCTGGTTCAACAAAAATAGGTCCCGAGCTCGGCCCGCTAGGCCCGCCCACACGGGCTAAAAGCCCGGAACCGGCCATCCGGTCTTGATCCGGTCCGGGCCCGCACAGTAGCGGGCCAGTTTCACCCGATTCGGTCCATCCCTAGTCTTATCATAACAAAGATCCTATTTTTGAATTACATTTTTCTATTGTGAGTAGGCATGGACTCATGCCGATCCGACTTGGGCCTCAAGTCGGGCCCGTCCGGGCTTTTTTTGTGTTTTTGAGACCCGAAACCGGCCCGGGTAGCCCATGAGTCTTTAATACGTAGTATTATAATAGTATTGTGAAAACCCTAGTTGTATTGGGTAGCCCATTTTTGTATAGAAACCCAATGCTCTAATATAGCTATAAATAGATGCTAGTGTAACGTTTCCTTTAACTCTGAGAGGGGCGTTATAACACAGATGTCATTCAGTGGGCCCTCTGTCGGCCAGATGGCAGTATGGCACCCCATCGGCGAAAGAAGAGTCAATCCAGAATACGCTTCAGAAGATAAGGAGAAGACTTGTCCTCCGTTGGCCAGACGTCCGTCGGCCAGTGCCTCCATCGGCCAGACGTCCGTCGGCCAGACGTTCGTCGGCCACAGAGAGCTCACAGAGCCAGGCTTGCATACTTAGCTAATATATTCGAATGTACTGAGCCCAATAGAGACTTTATGTTGTAATGGGCCTCCCAAGTCCAACCTATATTTTCTCTATAAATACTCCTATTGGGAGCCATGTAAAGGGTTGGAAATTCATTTATACATATCACTTTTCTCTCGCTCTCACTTCTCTCTAAGAGTTAATACTCTATCATAAACGTTACTTATAAGTTTTGATGTTTGGTATGAAATTCTTATAAAAAAGATTTATCATCAACATAGCATACATCATTTATATTATTGTACAGTTCACATGTTCATCTGTATTTACTAAATTAGTCTTTTATGTGGTTGGGCCTATTGAAGCCATATTAGCTGTCGGACCCACTATTTCTCTATACATACTCCCTATGGAAGGCCTTGTAACCCCAAGACACAAATTCTAATTAGTATTTATACCCTATTCATTATCTTCCTCCTATATAGCTCAACTCTCCTTAATCATATGATTGGATGTTTGGATACCCCTATTATAGATTTTATTTTCCCAACAACGAGGGTACTCAACTCTTTCCCATTTTTCGGTTCTATTTGGACTATTTTTCAAAAAAGGAATTCATTAACATCAGGTGGACCTTCCGACGACAAGGTTGGTTGGAGACAAAAAAAAAAGAAAGATGGTCTTGAGGTCGCCTTATGATGAGCACTTCCAAGTATTTTTCATTTAATTTTTCATCTACTTTTGAAATCAGAGTTATTGTTTATCATCTTTCTCCTGTGATCTCTAACGACGTTAGACACCGGACCCTTCCACTGATATCAAAATTAAAATACATGAACTACTTTGTTAACAAATGAAACATATGTGTCTCTATATGAAAATAAGTCCAACAATGTGTACCTTTTCTGTACTTTTCTCTTCAAGAAATGAATATTTTTGTTTTCAATAAATGAAACAATTTCACTTTTTTCTCGATTCACACACATTATTTTGATAGTTTTAGGAAAAATTATGATTCCCTCCTTTTGATTTGGTCATAATTTTTAGTCCAATCATATATTTTTAAAAGTCCATCATATGCCCCTTGAGATTTAGTTTTTTGTTGAAATCCCCTTAATTTTTAGTCATTTGACCGTTAGTTATGAGAAGAGTTGTCTGAAATGCCTTCTATTAAAATTGAACCTTAAAACAAAGATTTAAAGCCACTCTTCGCAAAACTTGGGCATATTTTTCTTGATGGAAAATTAATCACCATAAATAACCAAGATCAAATAACATCACACAATAAATCACAATTGTAAATTTATAGGGACTTACTTGGAGAGTACCCAATATTCATTTGAGAGAGTTTGGAAGAAGATGATGCCATTGTTGCTCTAAGGAATTGAATATGTAATCCCTTTAAGGACAATGATAGATGGAGTACTTAATTTATGGAGTTGTGATTTTGCTCTCTCCTTTCCTTAGAGTGTTCATACGTGTGTGTTTAGAGAAGGGGAGGAGTAGTTATATATTGGGAAATAGCCAATCATCACAACCTTTCATGTATTGTCCTAAAGGGTGTTACCACAATGGTACCCCTTAAGTATTATTTCCATCAAATAATACACACACACACATATATATATAATACATAATTACATATATAATTCATAAATATAGAACATATATTAATATTGGTCATTAGGCCATATTAATTGGAAATATTCCAACATTCTCCCACTTGGCCTAGTGACCAAAACTCGTTAAGTTGGCCAAGTATGTGTTCTAAATATCCAATATCTATACTATAATAGAGAAGTACAGTCACACACATCTTTATAGATACGGGACCCCCACTAATCATACTATAACACATGTATTAGAACTTTATGGTCATAAAACATAAACGATCAAATGTAATGTGGTAATTAATATTAATTTGTCTATGATACCAAAGTTAGTGCACACGGTATACATATGATAGACAAGTAAATATTCAATTAAATCCTTATATACATGAATTTGTTCATAAGAGCACTATGCTAATCAAGTAAGGTCTCGACTAAAACCCATTCTCATCACATGTTCTTGAAATTTTTTGGGTGGTAGACCTTTTGTCATCGGATCCGCAAGATATCATGAGTGCTAATGTACTCGATAGAAAGATTATTTTCTTCAACTCATTCACTTACAAACAAGAACTTTGTATCGAGATATAATCCAGCCCCGCTCGAACTGTTGCCATTTGAAAAGCTTACGGCGGCAAAATTGTCACAATAAATCTTCAACGATCTTGAAATGGAGTGAACTATTTTGAGTCCCATGATCAAATTCCTCAATAACATTCCATGACATGTTGCATTATAAACACCAACATATTCCGCCATCATAGTAGAGGTAGTGGTCAATTGTTGTTTATGACTCCTCCATGAAATGGGCCCACCTGCTATCATAAACATGTATCCCGACGTTGATTTTCTATCGTCTTTGCATTTAGCAAAATCGGAGTCAGAATATCCTGTTACTTCTAAATCGTTTGTTGCTCTATAAGTTAGTTTGTAATCTTTAATCCCCTGAAGATATCGTAAGACCATCTTAGCAGCCTTCCAATGATCAAGGTCAGGATTATGCTGATATCGGCCTAACATACCGGATATGTAAGCGATATCGGGACGAGTACAAACTTGAGCATACATCAAACTTCCAACTATGGATGCATAAGGAATCAATCTCATTTGATCCTTTTCTAATTCCGTTTTTGGACATTGAAATGAGCCAAAAACGTCTCCTTTAACAAGTGGAGCGACTGAGGGAGAACGATGTTGCATGTTAAAGCGTGCGAGTATACGTTCCACGTATGCCTTTTGAGACAGTCCTAATGTCCTATCGGCCCGATCTCGGTGAATTTCGATGCCTATAACATAAGAGGCTTCTCCGAGGTCTTTCATGTCAAAATGTCATGAAAGTAATCGCTTTGACTCATGCAATAAGTCAAGACTATTACTTGCGAATAAGATGTCATCAACATAAAGAACGAGTATCAAAAAATTGCTCCCGCTCATTTTGAGGTACATACACTGATTCACTTTATTTTTATAGAAGTCGTTCCTTTTCATGACTTCATCAAATTTTAGGTACCACTGACGTGATGCTTGTTTAAGCCCATATAATGACTTCTTAAGTTTACATACCAGATGTTCTTGACCTTTACCATTAAAACCTTCTGGTTGGGTCATATACACATCTTCATGCAAATCACCATTAAGAAAAGCGGTTTTAACGTCCATTTGATGTAGTTCTAAGTCAAAATGAGATACTAGGGTCATGACAATCCTTAAAGAATCCTTTTTCGAAATAGGAGAGAAATTCTCCTTGTAATCAATTCCCTCCTTTTGAGTGTATCCTTTGGCGACCAATCGCTCGACGTTTCCATTTGCGTCTAATTTAGTTTTGAAGACCCACTTGCATCCTACTGGTTTTACACCTTTAGGCAATTCAACAAGTTCCCATACGT